AATAATGTCCAGCAAAAGCTAACACTGGTGAAAAATAAGAAACAATCTTCCAAACTGAGTCCTTTACCAAGTATAGGATCTAAAGAAGGTTGCTTTTCTGGAGAAAATACTCCCTTCCTAATCCCATTTCTACTTCAGTACATCAGGAAAAGGTATTCATTTGTTTACTTTTCCCAGATCCCCTCTGCAATTTCCCTGCTTAACAAAACATTTCTAACTCAGGATGGCCCTGGGGACAAGGCTAATCTGTTAATACTCCAGAGACAGCAGTTTCTATGGATATAGAATGAATATCCAAGATCATCTTTCCCAGGAATTATTTTCTTAACCAGGAGAGTAATGTTTACCACTTTACTGAGTAATATCAGTCACATTACTTCATTTGTACTCCCCCATACAGCCCAAGATTATCACTTCAACTGCCAACTTTCTCAATTATTTAACACTTAATAATTCTTCTTTGAACACACCTGATCCTCATAGGATTAAGAAGTAATGAAGAGGGGGACTCCTGGTCTAACACTGTATTACTTAACAATGCTTTAGTCTGTAAGTAACAAAAAATGCAACCAAAACTGGCTTAAGCAATAGGGAAAGGAAATACACTATCTCACAAGGGAGTTTGGTGGTAGGACAGTTCCAGAGTTAATTCATTGGCTCAACAATGTCATCAAAAAACAGGCTTTTTCCATTTTTCTACTGACATCCTTACGATGTTGACACGTGGTATTTCCTACTAGATTCACAATGAGTCTGTGTTTCATCAAGACTGTTGCCTGATGGTTGGCTGTTATGAGGAAAACAATTTTCTCATATGAACTTTAGAAGCAATGTAGAAGTACCTATAGAATTTTTAATGTGCATATCCTTTCATCCAGCAATTCCACTTTGAAGAATTCATCTCAAAGAAACATGTAAGTGGGCAAAAACAAGTATAAAGATGATCATTACAAAACAACTTTGTAACAGCAAAAAATTGGAAAGACCCCCAAATATCCACCAATAGGGTGGTGATTACTTAAATGGAGAGAGCATACTATGGAGTATGTTACAGCTTTTAAAAGCTATTTAATGGCTACTATCAAAAACATGAAAGATAACAAATGTTGGAGAGGATGTGGAGAATAGGGAACCTTTGTACACCATGTAGGAATGTAAATTAGTATAGCTACTATGGAAAACTATCGAAGTTCCCCAAAAAACTAAAAATAGAATTACCATGTGTTCAACTTCTGGATATTTCCCCAAAAGATGTGAAATCAGGGCCAGCCCATGGCTCACTCGGGAGAGTGTGGTGCTGGTAACACCAAGGCCACGGGTGCATATCCTATATAGGGATGGCTGGTTGGCTCACTGGCTGAGCATGGTGCTGACAACACCAAGTCAAGGGCTAAGATCCCCTTACCAGTCATCTTTTAAGAAAAAAAAAAAAGATTTGAAATCAGTTTGTCAAAGAGATATCTGCACTCCCATGTTCACTGAAGTACTATTCACAATAGCGAAGTTATACAACACCAAGTCAAGGGTTAAGATCCCCTTACCAGTCATCTTTAAAGAAAAAAAAAAAAGATTTGAAATCAGTTTGTCAAAGAGATATCTGCACTCCCATGTTCACTGAAGTACTATTCACAATAGCGAAGTTATGGAATCAACCTATGTGTACATCAACAGATGAATAAAGAAAATGTACTAATATACACAATGGGAATACTATTCAGTCTTAAAAAGAGAAGGAAATTCTGTCATTTGAGACAACATGGGTTGAACTGAAGAACATTATACTAAATGAAATACGCCAGGCACAGAAAAACATATACCGCATGTTCTCACTTAACATGTGGAACCTAAAACAATTGAACTCATAGAAGCAGAGAGTACAATGGTGGTTACATTATGGGAGAATGTGATGATGATGGTCAAAGGATACAAAATCTAGGACAGAAGGAGTAAGTTTTTTTTTCTGAGATCTATCACACAGCATTAAGAATAGTTAATAGTGTATTGCACATTTCAAAATTGCTAAGAGAGTCAATTTCAAATGTTCTCATCAGAAAAAATAAGTATTTGAGATACAGATGTTAACTAGCTTGACAGAAGTATTCCATGTATTCATTAATCATAACATCACACTGTATCACAAAGATATATACAATTATAAGTTGCCAGTTTACAATAAAATAAAAAATAAAAAGCCACCCCCCACCCGAAAGCAAAAATACCTATGACACCAAAAGCACAGGCAACAAAAGTATAAACAAATAAGATGAACATCAAAATTTAAAACTTCTGTGCATCAAAGGACACAATCAACAGTGAAAAGGCAACCAATGGAATGGGAGAAAATATTTGCAAATCATGTATGTGATAAGGGATTAACACTAAGAATATATAAAGAACTCCTATAACACAACAAAATACTAAATAACCTGTTTAAAATAGGGCAAAGAACCTGAATAGATACTTCTCCAAAGATATACAAATAGCCAACCAGTACACAAAAAGATGCTCAACATCACTAATCATCAGGGAAATACAAATCAAAACCACAATACCACCTCATACTGATTAGAATGGCCACTATCAAAGTTATTGGCAAGGATGTGGAGAAACTACAACACTTGTACACTGCTGGTAGGAATGTAAAATGGTGTAGCCACTAAGAAAAAGTGTGGTGGTTCACCAAAAATTTAAAAAGAGAATTACCATATGATCTAGCAACTCTATTTTTAGGTATATATTAAAAAGAATTGAAAGCAGAGTCTCAGAGACATCTGTACACCTATGGTCACAGCAGCATTATTCACAACAGCCCAAAGTTGGGAGAAATCCAGATGTCAATGTATGAATGGATAAGCAAAATGTGGTTTACACATACAATGGAATGAATATGAAATTTGACACATTTTCTGCAACATGAATGAACCTAAGGATATTATGCTAAGTGAAATAAGCCAGTCACAAAAAGACAAATACTGTACGATTCCACTTACATAAGGGACTCAGAGCAGTCAAAATCAGAGACAGAAAGCAGAATGGTGGTTGTCAGGGATTGGGGGAGAGGGGTGAATGAAGAGTTGTTTTTTAATGGGTGTAAAGTTTCAGTTCTACAAGATGAAAAGTTCTGGAGATTGGTTGCAGAGATTAGAAAGTCAGGAAGTGTAACTAATGGATGGAATGTTCTTACAATGTAACAACATCAACCTGCTAAAACCTGGTGGGGATCTCAAATTCCTCATAAATAAATGCTAATTAAAAATAATGCTTTGGGGGCCGGCCCGGTGGCGCACTGGATAGTGCGCTGCTTAGGAAGCGCGGCGGTGCTCCCGCCCGAGGGTTCGGATCCCACATACAGACCGGTTCCCACTCACTGGCTGAGCGAGGCACGGGAGCAACACCGAGGATTGCAATCCCGTTGCCGGTCCCCGGTCCGGTACGGGGGCAACACTGAGGGTTGCAATCCGTTGCCGGACACGGAAAAAAGACAAAAGACAAAAAAAAAAACAGTTCAGATGGTAAATACTATGTGTATTTTACCACAATTAAAACTAAAAATAATTTTTACAAAATAAAAATACCAAATGAGAAGCACACCAAGTTATACATATTTGTATGAAGTTTAGAAGGATAAGCACCTAACTCTTAACAGTGGTCGTCTATGAAAAATACTGGTGGGGAAAGAAAGGACTTTTGTTTTCTACTTTATATCCTTCTATATTGTTTGCCTTTTGATTATAAACATGTACTAAGCTAATATTTTTTAATTTAATTTTTTAAAATTCCATTGGCTGTAACTTTTTTGGGGGGCAGCTGGCTGGTACGGGGATCCAAACTCTTGACCTTTAACACTGAGTTCTAACCAATTGAACTAACCAGCCAGCCCTCCATTGGATATATCTTTTAAGTTGAAATTAAACTCCAGGTTCTAATAGACTTAAATTCTCATGCTACCTTAAAAAAAAGGTTTTACCAAGCATCTCCTCACAAAATAACACATGTGTAGGTGGTTATGGTTATAGAAGGAATAATTAAGAAAAAGCTCCTATGTCATCCAGTCAAGATGAGATGCTGCCTATTAGGCTTACTCAAGGAACTGCACATGACACTTCCTGGCTCCTAATGCCTTAATCCAAATTAGACAGAGATCCACTCTGTACTCCTGGAACTGTCGACAAATGTGATATGACAACAAGCTGTCACCTGCAAACACAAAATTCTAGGATTTTCAAACTTTTCCTTCTATCTACCTGCTACTAATAGAACACCAGGCCCACATCAGCACTTACTTTTCTTTCAGAGCCTGATTCTCTACTCCTCCCACCCCCACCTCCCCACTTCAAGAATGTTACAAGAGTGTTAGTGGGTGGTTAGCAAGACCCCCTTGGAAATCAACAGCCATTCCAGAAAAATAATTGCTCACATACCAAGGGCTGCCAAGAAGAGCAGCTTCCCAGCAGCATGTTTTAGTAACCTTAATGAAGCAGAGAGCAACGCCTCCTGCAATACAAATTCTGGTTGGAAGAAAGGATCTATACATTGTGGAAAAGTACAACTTAAAAAGCAAACACCACAGGCTACAGTAGACCAGGAAAGCAAGCAAGATTTCTAAATACAGAGCTCAGTTCTAAGAGTCCACTGTACCTTATTTCTCACTATCATCATTTGCTCTGTCAAAAATAGAACCTTCCATATCTTGATCCATTCAGAATAAGCCACAGCAGGCACAGCTCTGCTTACACAGAGCAGCCAGGTCAGAAAGGCTGCACAGGCAAACGGAAAAAGCAGCCAGCAGGTTTTCTTAGGGATTATACTACTCCAGCTTTTATCCTTTCCAGCTATTCTAGTGCCAAGAAAGCTGCTGGGAGGTCTTTGCTCTGCTCTGAAAAAGCTTCAATCTTTCCACCAGCAGGGCTGAAGCAGTCTCGGGGCTGCAACTCCCTCTGCTGCCCAATGTTTTCTTTGCATGGTGTAGTACAGTTTAATGAATTCCACACTCAAATGTGTTAAAAGAGCTAAAACATCCTTTTATTTGAAAATACAGTCAGGGGTCACTTAATGATGGGGATACATTCTGGGAAATGTGTCGTTAGGCGATTTTGTTGTTGTGCAAACATCATACGGTGTACTTACACAAACCTAGATGGTATAGCCACCATTATTTATGTGATCCATCATTACGCTCTGTACGACAGTATAAACAAAAAGGCATGAGTTCAGATAGGACTATAGTTGGAATACAAAATTTTAAGCTAGACTGACTTGTTCATTCACCTACAAATCTCTATCTCAGAAAAGGTTTTAGTCTAATGAAAAGTCTACATCTCCCTCACAGGCACCTAGAAAAGCAGGAGCTGAACTTCTTGTTCCTCCTTTAGCAGAACTTAAGGTAGACCTTATTCATCCTTCAAGATCCAATTTAAATAGCATGTAGGATATGGCATTAAAACTATGCTTACCAGTCTACCTCACTGTATTTATTAAACTTTGTGCCTAGTTAACACTCAATAACCATTTAACAGAACTCTAACTAGAACCACCCTGCAATATTGGGAGAGGGGAGATTAATCCATATAAGAATTCAATTAGGAAATAAGCAATCACTGGGGGAGGAACCAAAACCCTTAGAGATAAGAATAAGAGTCAGGTGTATTTCTCTAACATACTATGATTCTGCCTAACAATTTACCAGCTGTGATTGTGCTCTTTTTCAGACTACCAATTTCACAAAGTCTCCTTCCTGTTGACTCTTAACAGAGCTCACTTTTAGTGTACTTTAATGGCACTTCATTCTTTGCCTATTCCCAAATACTTCTCACATTCTGATCTTAGTAATAAAATTCACAAAGACCTTACAGTAACTCAATGAGAGTGCTGAGCAAATACTGAAGCTATTAAAATATCCTCAACCTCTTTTGGTTAGAAACTCTAGTGTTCCAGCAGCCAGAATTAGAACTGATGAAGACATATGTTAGCACAATAACCCTTGTTTATTTTCATGAACCCTCCCTTTCTCTACCACACAGTATCAGAAGCTTACTTGTCAGGCAGAATTTCTACTCTTTGCCTCAAGAATCTGTAAGTCCATGCTCTGATAAAAACAAATATCCAGGGCAACCACCACTCCTCAGAAAACTTTAAAATAAATACCAAAAGCTAATGGTGCCACTGTGTAAAAGGTCTTTACCACTGGATAGAAAGAAGCAATGTAAATTTTTTAATAAAAACAATCCCACAGCATTTATTGTTATCTGGTAATAACACAAGGGTAATCAAAACAATAGGAACAAATGTTTCAGAACTATACTCCCATAAAAGGACACCTAAAAAAACAAATTGTATTGCCTTCTCAACAATTTTCACTTCATTGATCACTTCTAGTTGGAAACACTTTGTAGCAGAGTAATATTATCTCCTTTTAACATGATCCGACCTGCAACAAAAAAAAAAAAAAAAAAAGCTATTAACAGCCACACACCCAGAGGTACGTTCGCCTTTTAGCCTCAGAATTTTGTATCCAGTTTTTGAACAATATTTTGAAAATGGGGCTGGCCCATGGCTCACTTGGGAGAGTGTGGTGCTGATAACACTAAGGCCATGGGTTCGGATCCCCATATATGGATGGCTGGTTCACTCACTCCGGAGAGTGCATGGTGCTGACAACACCAAGTCAAGGGTTAAGATCCCCTTACCGGTCATCTTTAAAAAAAAATTTTTTTTTTGAAAATGCTTTTTCTTTGATGAAGATATTCAAACATTTTTAAGTGTCTATATGTTAAAAGGCTTTCCAGTTCCACAGGGCATATGCACCTTTCCAACAATAACCTAATAAAGGAGATGTTATTTTATGCAAAGTACAGTTTCTATATTCTATAGACTAAGTTAACTGAACAGGCCTAAGTCAACATTCCCCAATGCTGAGTTTGTAGAAGTTTGGAAATCAGTTGTATGTCAAGTTTGGGATATGCAGCATATTATAACTCCATTCATAGAGCTGTTAGTATATTAAAGACTCCATCTTACAATAAATGAACCTGTTTAAGTTTTGCCCAACATTTTCTAAACTTAAGAAAACAGCACTTTTTTTCTGAGAAATATCCATAAACATCTTCAGGAACACTGGTGTTCACTGGTAAAACACTCTGAGAAATCTTAATCAACTACAATAGTGATTAAACTGTTTTACTTTCCCAGGCTTCTACAGGTAATCAGTCTATTCTACAAGATGGATACTATCATGGGAATTCAACACTTGGCAAGTAATTTATAAATAATATGACCTTAATAAGACTAGCTTGCCCTTCCTGGAAAAACATCTTTAAATTGGAAAAAACCAGGCTTTCATAATAATATCCTAAGCAAGAAGAAGCTTAGCAAAGCACTGTAACAGTTTTCCGAATCTACTCTCCATGTATCTAGCATAGGTCTAAAAGAATCCTCAGGGTCTAGACAAAACAAGACATCTGAAACCCACTACTGATAAAAGTACTAATGGGCTGTAAACTGAACATTTAACAAATAAAGACAAAATATCTAAATAAACCTCAAGGTAATAAATAGGATGTTAAAAGAAATGATTCAGTGCATCATGATGAAACCATGAATCCTAAAGACCCTTGTTAACTGCGTTAAAAACTGCATTCATTGTCCAAATCTTTTTGAGTTTCTACTATGCCCCAGGAATTGAGTTGGGGACCAAAAAAGACATGACTCATGCACTTATGGAGCATCTGGTCGTACAGGAGAGACATTAATAAAATAATCCCACTAATGAATGTTTTACCACAAATTCAGAGAGCACATCATACCCTGCCTCCCTAACTCCCTATGCCCCATCCCCAGCAAAACCAAATTATCCCTGGGCTTCTTAGAGAAAGTGATATTTGATCTGAGCTGGGAACACACAAGAAACAGTATATATAAAGATTTATGGTGGGACAAATCAGTAGATTCAAAGAACTCCCCCAAATAGTAATTTCTCAAATGCAAACTAAATTTAAATATAAACTGAATCGCAGTTTATCAATTCTACACATGAATAAACATTCCAGAATTCTGTAAGGCCATCTATATTCTTACCCAGTTGTTTTCTTGACTTTGTTTTAGAATGAATCTCTTCTGCATCATCTAATACAAGGTTCATATACTCATCAAAACCCTACCAAAAAAAAAAAAAAAAACCAATTGAACATCATGTTCAAGTTAAATCACATCCAAACCATTCTAAATGAATATACCTATCTAGATATGGAAATGCCAACTAACTTCAGAAATTCATCCCTCTACTGATCTTTCAGGTGAAACACCTCCTCCTACCTAAAGCCTCTCTTTAAATAACAAAGAAAGCCAGAACACAGTCCAAATTACTTCTTAAACCTTTTGGACTTAGGATTTCATTAACAATACTCCCTATCTTTTATAACCTGCCCAACAGAATATGTGTGTACGTATATGAACTACCTGCTACTGCCACTGCACCTCCCATGTTCCCCACAAACCACTAACCATCATGCTTGCGTTCCAACTGGTAAATGAGGAAGGGGAGATTACTGATGGAATATCTGATGTCTAAACGGAATACTAAAGTGTTTAACATAATACTTCCAGCCATACTTATCTTTCTTAAAACATTACCTAGAATATCCTGCTATCCTGGAAGTCTTAACTAACCTCACCCAGCTCTATTTGGGTATCACCTAACCCAAAAGGAACACTCTATTAATCCCTACCTCCTCTGATTTTATTTTTTTGTCCTCTCTCCTAAATAATAATATTGTTATTTTGTTTAAATGGTTTTTAAAAGTTAATTTTCCCTATCATTTTTGAATTACCCAACTCCTATCAGAACAATGAGAAAAGACTAAATAGTGGGTCCCGAAAAACTTTTCTTGGGTTGGGTCTTCAACTTTCTATACATTGCTCTGGCTGGCCATTTTCTGTGGAATATTTTTCTATGAACAAACTACTCTGAAATAAAATAGCCTGGATACTCACAATAATACAGCCCTCTATCCGCATATTCACTTGCTCATAGAGCCACACCTGAATCCGGGATCTCTGAAATAGTCATAATAATAGAAATGTTAAACAAAAGTAAGCAAATCCCAATCACTTGATCTAACAGAGAGAAATAAAGCTCCTAAAAACACTAATAAATATAAGCCAAGAGTTTTAACTAATTAATTAGCCCATATCTAAAAAATGTTAGCCAAAACTGTTACTTGCTATGAAACACTTCCATTTAATAAATGCCATACTGGGACTATCAAAGCTAATAATTTTCCTGTGATCTTGAAGCTCAATCATATTTCTTACTGCTTCTAGTCTGAACACATTTAGAATGAAAACTGGTGACACTATAGCACAAAGCTGTAATTTCTAAAGACCATGGCTTCTTATCTGCTACAGCAAAATCCAGCTCAAAAACAAAGCTTCAGGTTCTCAGTTTTCCGTGACACATACCTAACAACTTGGGGACGGACACTCAAC